CTCTCTCTCTCTCTCTCTCCCCCTCCCTCCCCCTCGTTTCCTACATTAACCCAAGTTGCCCTTGGATTTATGAACTTCCTGTCACATGCCCCCCCCCCTTGAAGCTGGGATTACAGACACGTGCCAGTAGGCCCAGATAAAAGGACTTTTTTGTTGGGAAACATGAGTCTTATTGTTTTTTTAAAAAAGAAATTACTCCACCTGTATACAAATCCCATCATCTTTGGCAGACTTAATGACATTGTTCCATCAATGACATCTTGAATCTCCTTTCTGTATGTTTAATCTTTTTCTCACCACCTGCCTCTTCTCAGAATACATATCCTTAAATCTACATTCATTCATTACACCTGAATTTACTTATTATGTGATGCTAATTACGTATTGGAGTTACAAAAATAGTCCCTCCTCTCAAGTACTATCTAGTACTGAAAATAAAGAAGCAACAATTAAAATATATTGTGATAAGTATCATGACAAGTGCATTTATGGAATGCTGAAGAATACATCTAACATGGAATGGATGATTACCTAAGGCTTTTAGATAGCGGGAAAATGTGGCTGAATCATGAAAGAAAGATGGGAGCTAACAAGGCAGAGAAGGGACAAAAAGACTTCATGTTGCCTTTTCCTCCCTGTCCTTCCCCTGATAATCAAACTAATCTGCATGAATATTACATCATTATCCATTTATCCCAATCTCCATTTCAGTCTCACTACTATTGTGCTACTCTGACATTGCTCTGAAAAATTTCTAATGACCCAATATTTTCAACTTTGAAAGTTTCTGACCATTTCCACCTTTTCAGAATGCTTCTATGTCCTTACTATAGGAGTATGCTGATTTTCTCTCTAATTCACTCAGGTCACTCTTTTTCAGCCTCTTTTGCTGGTTTCTCCTCTTTCCAGGAAACTTCAGTGGTCTTGTTTCTCTGGTTTTTTAATTTGATCCTTTGTTATTCCATTGAATCACAATTCTGTATTTCCAGGGATACTTCTCTTTCATAGCCTGGCTTGCTTTACCTTCATCCTTACCTGTATATCCTGTTAACACTGAGAACATGTCAAATTCTGAACTTTTTTTCCCCCATAAGCCTGTTCCTATGTTTTACTCTCTGTGTAATTATATTAGTCACATATTTTGGAACCATCTTTAGCACTTTTCTCTCCTTTCTCTAAATTTCATTGATTCACAAAGTGGCATTAGTTAAAAATAAAAGAATGGAAAATGATATAGCTTGAAAACACCACTAAAAAGATTTAAGAAATTTTAAAGTAAAAACCATTCAAACTTAAAGAAAAAAAAATACCCAGATTACAACTATAGTAAGATTTCAACACTTCTCTCTCAGTAACTAATTAAAATATTTCAAAATAGATCACTAAGATTTAGAAGATCTAAAAAGTTGTATCAACCATTTCTACCCAGTAAACATTTATAGAATATTCTACCCTCAACAGATCATGTTTGATTGATTGTACACAAAACATTCAACAACACAGACCATATTCTGAGTTATAAAATAAATGTCAACAAATTTTAAAAGACTAATAAAAATTGTATGTGTTTTGTGATCCCTAGAAGCTAATAGTAGAAAGTTACCTGTAAAATTTATGAATACTTGAAAGTAAATAACAGAATTCTTTAAAACTTCTGGATCAAAGAATAAATGACAAGAGACCTTTAAAAATATTTGGAATTCACTGAAAGCTGAAATATAACAAAATTTAGGATCCAATTGAAGTAATGCTAACAGAAAAAAAAAATGTATGCCCTTTGATGGTATATAGAAAAAGGAAAAAAGGTGAACCAACAATCTAAGCTTCTATCTTAACAAACTAGAAAAAAGAACAATTTAAGCATCGGGAAGAAAAAATGAAGAAAAGAACAAGAAATAAATGTAACAAGAAAGAAAAAGCAACAGAAAATCAACACAACCAAAAACTTTTTGTGTGTGTGTGCAGAGAAATAATCTAGAAACATAAACTTCTAGTCAGAAAGCTTAAGGAAAAAGTGAGAAATCACAAATTGTGGATATCAGAAATGAAAGAAAATATATCACTACACATCCTATAGTCCCTAAAAGAAAAGTAAGAGAATTTTGTGAACAACTATATGCTAAGAAATTGATAATTTTTCCTAAAAGACAAACTACCAAAGCTTACTCGGGGCCGGGGATTTAGCTCAGTGGTTCTGGCGCCTGCCTTGCAAGTACAAGGTCCCGAGTTCGATCCCTGGTACCAAAAAAAAAAAAAAAAACCAAATCTTACTCAAGGATAATTATATGAATAGCCCTATATTAAAGAATTTGAATAGGAAACCCAAACAAGAAGACTGAGCCAATATGATTTCAGCGGTGAAGTCTACCAAGCATTTAGGGAAGAAATGATGGAGACAATTTACGTATATGCTCAATTCCCCAAGAAGAATGCAATTATGTGTTACAAAAATATAACAACAATTTAAAAAGTAGCAAAAAGAATTCAGAAGCACATTGAAGTAAATATATTCCATGATTAAATGGAATTTATCCCAAAAATGCAGTTGGTTCAACCTAAGAAAGTAAATCAGCCGGGCATGGTGGCACACACCTATAATCCCAGCGCTCAGAAGGATTGCCATGAGTTCGAGGCCAACCTGGGCTACATAGTGAGTTCAAGGACACCCTGAATTACACAGCAAGACCCTGTTTCAAAAAGAAAGTAAATCGGGCTGGGGATTTAGCTTAGTGGTTCTGCTGCCTGCCTCGCAAGCGCAAGGACCTGAGTTCGATCCCTGGTACCCCCCCCCAAAAAAAAAAAAAGTAAATCAATGTAATACACCATATATAGCCATATAATACATAAAAAGATAACACATTTTAAGCAAGTAAGTTTTATCACAGGAATTCAAGGTTAGATCAACATTAAAAATTAATCCGTTATGATACATTGTCTCACTAGACACAGAAAAAGCATTTGAAACATCTCATATAGATTCATAATTAAACGCTTTGTAAACTAAAAATAAAGGAAACTTCCTTAAATTTATTAAGAGCATATACCAAGAAAAGAATTAAAATTAACATCACTTAGCGGTGAAAGACTGAACACTTTCCTGCTAAGATCAGAAATGAGATAAGAATGTCCTATCACTTCTGCTCAGAATTGTACTGGAGGATTGGAACAGCAAAGAAAAAAAATTAGGTTTTTCAAAAGGAAGAAATAAATTTGCCTTTATTTACAAAGGACATAATCAAATTAAATTAAAAAATGAGTCTTTAGGCCAGGGATTTAGCTCAGTGGCACCAAGCCTGCCTTGCATGTGCAAGGTCCTGAGTTCAATCCCTGGTACCAGGAAAAAAAAAAAGAGAGAACGACTTTAAAGATTTTTTCATGCTAAGTAAATTAAATATTTGAAGTTATTTATTTCCTTTTTTGATAAATAATCAACACATAACTACTGATCTGAAATTCTGACCAGAATCAAGTAACAAATGTAAGCCTATTAAGTTCATATAATAACAATCAAAAACAAAGGCACTTGAGGGCCCGGGATTTAGCTCAGTGGTTCCGCCGCCTGCCTGGAAAGCGCAAGGACCAGAGTTCGATCCCCAGTACCAAAAAAACTCAAAAAAACAAAGGCACTTGAGTTTTTGGTGAACTTTTGCTTCCTTGTGGACTTTAATTTCTGACATATCTTTAAAATACTGTAATAACTCAAAGATTCCCTTACATCTTTTTTTCTTACCTCAAATATCCCTGACATCCCAGGTTTAGATGTCAAATAACATAAGATGCATTAAATGGAATACATAGATACACATCTGCTATAGTTTGGATCCTGAATGTCTCCTTAAGGCCCATGTGTTAAAGACTTAGTCCTATAGCAATGCTGGGAGGTGATAGGCCTTCAGGTCAAGGAATAGAGACTGTCAGGAGGTTCTAGGTCATTAGGGGTGTGCACTTGAAAAGGATTGTCTCATCCTTGTCTCTTGCGCTCTCTTTTCTTCCCTGCTGCCATGAGGTGAGCAGCTTGCTCCACTATGTGCTCCCCACCTAAGCACTGTGTGCTTCCCCACTTCTCTCTCTCTCTCTCTCTCTCTCTCTCTCTCTCTCTCTCTCTCTCTCTCTATTTGTATGGGGATCAAACTCAGGATCTTGTGCTTGCCAAAACCTTTTCTCTTTTTAAGCTGATTATCTTAGCTATTTTTTTTATCTTAGGTACTTTGGTATAGTAATGGACAGCTGACTAACATAATAACTAACACATTGATTATTAGCTATCATAAAGGACTTCTTTTTAGATAATGCTCTAGTTTTGGCATAAGCAGAGTCAGTACATGGAAAAGGCATCACTAAATAGTCCTTTATTTATTCATTTTTTAACAAACAAAATACAGTTTTCTCAAATGGATAATCAGGCAACCACAGAAAGTGTTTTTGTTTTGTTTGGTTGGTTGGTTAGTTTTTGTTTTTGCAGTACTGAGGATTGAACCCAGGGCCTCTGCCCTGAACCCTTTTTATTTTTTATTTTGAAACAGGATCTCACTAGTTACTAAATTGCCCTGGCTGCAGTCATTTTGCCTTAGCCTCCCACAGTGCTACGATTATAGGCATACACCACCACACCCAGCTCGGTTTTGCTCTTGTTTACATACAGACTGCTCATATTCTTCTGTGACATTCTATCACTCACCTCATTCCTTTCTATGTCTGAGAGCTCCTGCTGAGGTCTACTCCTGCTCCTTAATACTTTCCCAGAAACATAACTCTAGGAACCCTACAATAGACCAGGCCAGACACCAAGATCTTCTCTCAAAGGTGAGCTCAAGTCCATAACATCTACAAATCCTTACACTATGGAGACTCACAAATCTACAAACCCTATTCTAGGACTGAGAGATGCAAATAAGAAAGGACTTAGCAGTAGAGAGAACAGAGAGCTAATCTGAATTTTGTATCCTGATTACCAAATTTCTGAACTTGTACCTCTGGGGTTTTTTTATTTGTTTATTTGTTTTGTTTTGTTTTGGTACAGGGGATTGAGCTCAGGACCTTGTACTTGCCAGGCAGGTGGCAACACCACTGAGCTGAATCCCCGGCCCTTTGTACCCTCTGTTTTATTTTTTTTTTTTATTTTTTATTTATTTATTTTTATTTATTTATTTTTTTGGTACCGGGGATTGAACTCAGGTCCTTGGCTTGTGAGGCAGGTGGCAGAACCACTGAGCTAAATCCCCGGCCCCTGTACCCTCTGTTTTAAAAGTCTGAACATCGTGACTTGTGTTTTTTCGTTTGGGGTGTTTTGTTTTTTGTTATTGGGAATTCTAGAAAAGGCTGAGTGGTATGATGCTTTCGTCAAGAACTGCTATAACATATATAGTCATGGAGGACTTTATCGAGCTTTTAGATTAATTATTGTAAGACTATTAATTAAATCCACCTTGTCCTGATTTCAATCTTTAATTTGCTAGTATATTAGCAGCCCAAGTGTAATATTAGGCTGGAAATAATGAAAAAAAGAAAGGAAGGATTCTCCAACCATAAAAAATTGGGAAACTAGTGCACTATATACAAGGTCCTACAGGGGAAAGAACTCTGTCACCATGACAACCTGAGATATTTTTATTGAGAGAGTTGGTAGGCTATATTCAAGCATTTTCCAGAATTTGGGGGTAGAAAGTGAAGTATAAGAACACGTGTGGGAGTTAAGAGACACTTCAATTTTTATTTTCATCCTTATTTTTTAGCTTTTCCTTACAATCTACGTATTACCAAATTCTATTTTATAAGAGCAAAAGGTCAAAATAATTTTAGACCCCATAATTACATATGAATGTTATAAACATATATATATATATATATATATATATATATATATGATTATGTAACTTTGCTAATTTGGGAGATTTTCACAAAGGATATTTGGTTTCTAAAAGAACAGAAGAAATTTATATATCATCCAATAGTTCAAAACAGATTATTCTACAATAGCATAGTCTTCCTAGGCTAGAAAACCTGAAGATATCAGATGAAAACAGTGGTGCCTTGCTTCATGAACACTTTTGTTTGTAAACAATTCGTTTCACAAACAGAAGCATTTGCCACAATTTTGTTGTTGTTTGTAAAGCCTGCATTGGATGACAAGCTCAACTGTGACCATCTTCCCACACAAGCACAAACGTGGCCAACTGTTCCAAAATCATAAAACAAATCAAGTTCGTAAACCAAGGTAAAACTGTACTTTCTTTCTTATTGAAATTATGTTACATTAATTTTAATCTAATTTTATGTAATTTTTGTCTTCTTTGAATTTTGCTGTGTAGTCTTTCCCAAAAGATTTACATGAAGTTCTGTTATATGTGAATTATCTATTTATCTATTAATATAAGCTAGTCTAACCAACTTTTATATGTTCAAAATTTTTCATACAAAATTGTCAAGAAGAATTTTAGCCTCTTTACACCTCTCATTTTATTCTCACAGTATTTCATTAAATAAGTATTACTATCCCCATTTTTTTGTTTGTTTGTTTTTAATTTTTTTTTTTTTTGGTACCAGGCATCGAACTCGGGACCTTGCGCTTGCTAGGCAGGCGGCGGAACCACTGAGCTAAATCCTCGGCCCACTATCCCAGTTTTACAGATAAGTGTGACAGAGAGGTGGTGTATTTGCCCAATGCCGCAGCTCAGAAGTGCAGAGTCTGTGTTAATATATAGATGGTCTTTGTCTCTACTTTTTGATATACATTGTGATTTATAAAGAAATATGGTCTTGGTAGCTGTTTCCTGGAACACAACTGCTAAAGCCCTTAGAATAATGATAATAGTGATAAATAGCTCTTTGTAAACTAATGAGATGACTTGTGGCTGGGGCCTCCTGGAGAGCCTCAGGATGCTCAGAGGAATCAACTATGATTAGAACTTTCAGTCCCATCCCCAAACCTTGGTGAGAGAAGCTTTGAAGGTTGAGCCAAAATTCAACCTTCAATTGATTATACTGAGGTAGAAAGAGCTACCAAACATAATGGATAATTATTGTAAAATGTTTGTTAATGAACACTGTGCTAAAACCCTGCTTGAAACTTGTGTGAAATTGTCCCTGCTTGGAAACTCTGGATGGGCCTCCTCCCTCTTATGGGAGCAGCCTGCTCCTGGAGAGATTAGAAGCTAGCCTTGAAATTTGTTCATCTAAGCCCCCAACCTTGAATCCATGGAAAATCACCTAATGCCACTTTATCACATCCTCACCACATTCTGTAAGGTACCCTAGGCTTCGAGCAAGGTATAAAAAGGAAACACTGTTTTAACTCGTGGTCAGCCTATAAGGACTTTTTCCTGAGGCTGTCCATTGCCTGGCAATAAACTTCTTTTTTTATTTTACCCGACTCTCCTGTCTCTGAAAGATCATTTCAACTCCCGGTTTGCCACAACAATATCAGTGAGCAGTGATGTAATCAGTCATACCTATGTGACGTTTATTTTTAAAAACCCAAAGGACAGAGCTCAGACAGCTTCCAGATTACTGATCACGGGGAGGGTTCTCGAGGAAGCCAGGCAGGAGAGAACATGGAAACTCCATGTCCCTTCCTACATACTTTGCCCTGTGCATCTCTTCCATCAGGCTGATTCTCTGTATCCTTTGTAACATTGAAATTGGCTAAGGCCTGGACACACCTGGAAACATATTCCTTAAATAACAAAGTTTTAAAGTCCTCTTTCAGGAAGTGCCTCTGGAATCCACTCAACCAGCTTTTCCAGAATGGATATTCACAGAAGAATCCAGCTCATCAGACTGATACCTTTTGACATAACAAGCTCAAAATCATGGCAATACCCCCAAAGAGACATGCAATCTATGGAGAGCCATAATGACCATCTTTCCCCACACAGAAGAGGCATAAAACTTGCCTTTCTTGCCATCCACTCAACAAGCTTCTTCTGTCTCCCTTCCTGTATATAAATTCCTTCATTACCAACTGATTGGGAAGGCAGATTTGAACTTTATGTCTGCTGTTGTCCTGAATAAACTGAATCAAGTTCTTTTTGGGGCAAAAGATGGTGCCATATTATTGGCTTGTATGCATGTCAGGCACTGAGCCCTTCCTCCATAGCAATAACCCTTATAATAAATAGATAAATGAAAGTAAGGCCTTTCCTTGAGTTATCTGAGTTGCTGTTTTGGGGCCTGAGAGGCTGCTTTTCCTAAAAGCACTGAGTCTTCACTGCATCTGTCTGATGGGTAACTGAAAGTAGGATAAAATCTTGGGATCTCTACCTTTATTTTGCCTCTGTCTCTTTTGCTAGCTTAAACTTTGGGTCAGATCCCTGTTCCCCCTGCACATAGGCATGTTAGTCATTTAGAGTGTTCTTCTAAAACTGGTCATCCAGGGCAGGGGATTTAGCTCAGTGGTGCTGCCACCTGCCTTGAAAGTGTAAGGTCCCAAGTTCGACCCCCGGTACACCCTCCCCCCCGGCAAAAGAAACAAAATTTAGGGCCAGGGATTTAGCTCAGTGGTTTCGCCACCTGCTGGGCAGGCGCAAGGACCCGAGTTCGATCCCCAGTACCAATAAATAAACAAACAAACAAACAAACAAACTGGTCATCCTCCCCCTTTATGCCTGAAGCCACCAAGCTAAGAGTTCAAGATCTGCTAGGACATATGCAACAGATTATCAGCTGCCAGTGTCTGCAACACTCTATTCCAGACTGTTACCCAAGTTTTAGGGCAAAAGCCCCTGCTCTGTGGCTCCCACCAGACTAGGCTCTATCACTCTCCCAACACAGCAATCAAGGAGATGAGCAGAGGTATAGAGCAGAAAAGGAGCTTTGGTCAACACGGCCACTCTAAGATGAACAGAAAAGAGGTTCCGTGACATTAGATTGTTACTGGCCACTCGAGTTCATACATTCAGGGTTGTGTGTTTGCTGCTGGCCAGATCAAAGGAAGCCATTTATTTTGGTAAAAAGGATTTATTCAGAGCTAGCTCCAAGGAGATGTAAAGGCTCATTCACTTCAAATCACCATCTTACCATGTATAAGGTGTGCAAAGGATTTTATAACAAGGAACACTGTGAGGAAGGAATACAGTAAGTTAACAGATCTGCAGGTTTGTCTCATCCCTTCTGGGTCCCCACCAGCTCCCTCCCTTGCCTGTGGAAATGAAACTGGACTTTGGCCTCCTGGTAAGAGCACATGCACAAATTCATGAAAGTCAGACTGTAAAAGAAGGCTGAAATATTTGACCAGATAATATTAGGAGCTTCTATTTCTTGGAAGGCACTACAAACCCATCACAAACTATGGCACACTAATAGTAATTGTGAAACTAGTGAAACCCAATTAATTGTATGGAATATACCAAGGTCGGTTTTCTGGTTTTGATGGTGCACTATAGTTACGGCATTTAGTGTGGGCTGGGTGAGGGCTATACAGTATGTACTCTAGGGAGTACTTATATTTGTTTTCAAATAAAAAGTTAAATTGCTTTTTTTGTTTTTGTTTTGTACCAGGGATCAAACGTGGGACCTTGCACTTGCAAGGCTGGCGGTGGCACCACTGAGCTAAATCCCCGGCCCAGCTGAGTTTCTTTAGAATGCATTGTCAAGCCCAATCCTGTCTGTTCTGCAGTCAGCACCCTAAAACATCAGAACTTCGACAAACAAGAGTTACAACACATACATGCAGATGTGAAAGAAGCCGGTAAGAGCAAAGCTATACTCTAGACTTAAACTAAGAAACCTAGTGACCACGTTAATTAAAGAAAGCCAATATTTCTGTGAGATAAGATTCATTTGGTCGGAAAGCTGTATCACACAAATACTTAAAGTCCCCTTTTCTTGTAAACCAATATGAATTACCATTTGGGAAAAAGCACATTTAGGATTTCTTAGATACATACATACAGAACTGCAAAACTTTTGACTAATTTGTACAAGAATTAATGTCTATTTTACCAACTAAGAGCATACATTTTGGGCCGGGGATTTAGCTCAGTGGTTTTGCCGCCTGCTGTGCAAGCTCAAGGACCCAAGTTTGATCCCTGGTACCAAAAAAAAAAAAGAGCATACATTTTGACCAAGACTCTTATTCACCAAGAACATGGCTTATACCAGTTTCATAACTAACACCAGTTCACAAAGTAGCAGTTTAGCCAAACAATTTACTTATTTTTACAGCATAGTAGGACAAAAATCATGACCTTTTTACACCAAGACAATTACATTCTTAAAAATAAGGCAAATTACATATAATAGTTTATGTACCCAGAATTGTGAAACAAAACTTTTACAGATATCTGAGTAAATATAAACTTCCTAAGACTTAATTTTTAAACATGGAGAAAACAAGAAATTATTTTGACAAAAGTAAAGCTTCTTTTAAAGATTGGTTGTAATCTTTACTAAGAACAGATCAATATCTTAAGACTTGTTTTTTAACCATACAGATTTTGACATTATCCCTGTATGTAACATTTGTAGTGCTTTTTTTGTGTGTGTGTGGTGCTGGGGATTGAACTCAGGACCTTGCACTTACAAGCCAGGTGCGATGCCACTGAGCTAAACCCCTGGCCCTGTAATGCTTTTTAAAATTATTTTTCTTAGATCAAACTGTCTTTACTTAGAAATGCTTTACTTAAAAGATATACTGTTAAGATGTGATCTATTTTCAAAAAAATATAACTTTTAGAACATTACAAAATTCTGCTATCCCACACATAGGCTAAGAGTATGTTATTACTCTCATCTGTGTCCCAAACTGTGTCATATATAAATGTAAACACTGTACATCTAGAAAAAATTATATAATATACAACAAAATCTTTGTTTCTGAAACTTGCAAGGCTCTACTGTAAAAGCAAAGTGATTTTTAAGAACCATATTTATGCAAAGACTAGACAATAAAGTAATAGTTTATCTATTACACCAAAGCAAGCAGGCCTTTTAAGCATCTCTTAAAACTACTACCACTAAGCCACATAAACAAACCCATCAACCAACAGGTAAGTCATAGCTATTAAGTCTTTTTAAAAAATACTTTATTGGAATTGTTTTGATAAAACCAGGTACTCATGAAAAACAAAATAAATATAAGTGAACCTCATCTACATAGTACAAAGTATCTCAAAATTTCCAGCCAACTTTCTCCCCATTAAGTTGACAGCTATTCATATAGGTTAACACAGGAACGGTGTAAGCTTCTAGGATCTGCCAAACATCAGATAGACATCCTTTGTCAGCACAATTCGTAGCAACCAAGGAGAAGGGGCTTGCTTTCCACCTGTCACAGCCTGATGATGAAATAACAGGAATCGCTACCTAGGCATCATAGGCAGCCAATAGTCTTGGAAGGGGTAGATTCCAAACCCTAGGTTTTCAGCCACAGGTTAGTGCAGAATTTCTGGTAGGAGGCTCTGCCCCTGGCTAGGCTGTCATGGTTATTTAAGGCTAACATACCTGGCAGACTTCTTAAGACCCCTAGCATCTCTTGCTGTGGACCCACCTACGAGAATGAGGAACCTGCTTGTGGGCTGCTGCATCACACCCCAATGTAGGCTCTAGGAGCACAGCCAGCCGAACATACTGCCTGCATTGAGTCTGCCCCACACAAAAGAGAATAGCTATTAAGTATTTAAAGCAAAATAATTTTTCTTAAAACTATTACTAGAAAAAAAGCTGTTACTAGAATATTAAATGAGTTGTGCTTAAACCAGTTGTTAACTTTAGAATATCTTAAAATAGTGAATAAATACAATTCTGTCATTTTTAAGTTTTATTATGTAAAGTTCATTTCAACTTGTTGATCTATAGTTTGACAAGTCTCCATTTTCAAATACTTATTGTCGTCCTAGAATAATCACTCTCAAAAAATTTATTGAAAGATCAGCAAAAAAAATTAAAAAAAATAAAAGATCAGCTATCTTTTGATCTTATGTCACAGTCTTATACATATATAAAGTTTGATCCCTGGTACCAAAGGAAAAAAAAAAAGGAAGTTTACTAGTCATGTACATTTAAAATGAAAAGCTCAGAAAATCTACAAAGATCCATGGCCTGCAGGAGGAAATATTTATCCCATATCCACACCCCCTGGCTTCAAGATTCCAGAGTTGCAGAAGTTATTAGCAATTAGATTAAAGGTGGTTATAAGGACAGAAAGATAAAAGAAACCAAAGCAAACCAAATGAGTACTCCAAATCAACAAAACAAATTCTGGAAATTGTTCTATTTCTGAATCTTCTCACATCAATCAGTGCTTCAAAATGACCTACAGCGGGTCCAAATCAAATGGTGAATATGTTTACTTTACCCAAATGGTACTGCCATGCCTCTCACCATTCAGTGCACCAAAATTATCTGTAATAAGTCTAACTAGCCCCAAATGGTGAAGGTGTTTACCTCATCCAAATGGCACTCCAACACAACCTAATAAAAGGTCCAAATGGTGACAACAGTAGATCCCTAAAGTGCACTTTTCAGTAGGAAACCAAGTGGAGCTCATCAGCTCCTAAAAATACTTTTTTTAAAAACCCACATTTATGAACAACTGATGCCATGAACAGGAAAGGATGGAGTATTCTCAGGTGCAAAAGTATCCCCAGGAGCTGCTGGAATGTCTCTGGAGTCCTGATCATGGCTTTGGCTAGCCACAAGCAGCCAGTCCCCAAGTGCCTGCCAGGATGCATGCCTCTCAGGAGCCAAAACTTACCTCCTGGCTGGCTCGCCAAAACTGTTTATCAGCCACCTAAGTTCATACACTCAGGTTCCTTTGCACACTGCTGTTCAAATCAAGGGAAGCTATCTCTTTTGGTAAAAATGAAGTGAGATTTTTTCAAAGCTAGTTCTGAGGAGATGGAGGGGACTTTTTGCCTCAAATCATCATTCCACCATGTACAGATGTGTTAGGGACTTTTATAGCAAGGAATGGTCAATATGATGGGGATAATTGGGATATGATAGTGGGGATAATGGGGATATGATAAGATAACAGAATTGCAGGATCTCACTACTTCCTTCAATTGCCTGTGGAAATGAAATTGGATTTCTACCTCTTGCTATGAGCATTTGCACATTCTTTTCAGTCATCTGGGTGGAAGAGAGATGGCGGTGGTTGTCCATACCCTCGACCTGAGGAAGCCTAGAAAAGCCACTTGTCTTTAAAGGAAAAATAACTTCTAAAGTTACATTTTGCCATGCTGGTTATAAGATCTATCTTCAAGAGACTAATTAGGAACTTTCAGGCTTTATGGAGGAGGGGAACAAAGGCAAGGGTTGTGTGTTTGCATAGCTGGCAGCATAGGTAATCTTGGTCATATGGTGGTCTGGTTGATCATTATCTCAGGACTAGATTCTATGAGGCTCCAGGAAACTCATCATTGCTTAAGGGGGCGATTCAGTTCCCTTCATGAGATGATTGCTCCTGTTTATGGGGGCAGCCTTGGTTTCTCTCATGGAGTAATTGCATTTATGGTGGGGATTTTATCATTGATTGATCTGCTCTTCCAGGTTTGGCAGTTCCTTGGGGGTAGTTTTGGTCCCTTGCTATAAAGATGTTTGTCAATAAGATCTGCTGTTCTTGGTATCCAAGGTGACTGTAGGAAAGAGTGGCTCAAAAGGAAAAAAAGTTTAAAAGGAAGCTGCAGTCAGAGAGGACAAAATGCAATTAAATTAGGCCAGTAACAGCCCTCCTTCAAGACCTCTGCAGTCTTGCCTAGAAGTTCCCAGTCATTGCCCTACACCTGAAGGAATGAAGTTTATCTTCCTTTCTGACTTGTTTTTTCCTCTGAGTCATTCTTTCCTGCAGTCACCTCAGATTCCAGGAACAAAATGCCTGATTGATAGACATCCTGTGCCAGCAGCTGAAACTCCCCGTAGGCAGCAACAACTTCCTTACAGCTGACAAGGCTCCACAAGGCCATCCTGAGATAATAAGCAACCAGACCAGTCTCACCAATACTGTCTAACTCTGTGCCTTCCCCCCACCTTTTGTTCCTTTCCTACACATCCCCAGTGTTCTTGTTAGTGCCTCAAGGACAAGGCCGAGGATGCTTGGTCCCCTATGGCTATATTGAACAAATTCCTTTCCTACTTTATTTTTTGGTTGGTTGTTTTATTAAGGCAAGTGATCAGACTTAGTCTCTTGTGCCCCCCCACCCCGACAAAGTCAGCCCCCCGCCCCCGGCCTAAGACTCTGACAACAACCCCAAGGACTGGGTCATAGGAACTCTCAATTTATAGCTGATTGATCAGAAATACAGGTCACAACCTGAGACTTTTGACTACCCTATACAGAGGAGTCTTGTAGTACTGAGCACTTAACCTATACAGTCTGATGCTATCTCCAGGGACATAGTGTCAGAATCGAAATTTAGGACACCCAGTTGGTGTACATGAGAGAATTACTTGGTTTGTGTGGAATCTTCACACACATTTTTTGGTACCTGGGATTGAACTTAGAACCTTGTGCTTGCAAGGCAGGCAGTGGCACCACTGAGCTAAATCTCTGCCCATTGACCAGACTTCTTGAGTGGTGTATGTAAGAGTAAGAAAAACTAGGGGGTTTTTTCCCTGTCTCTTACAACTATGTTGCTTTTTTTTTTTTTTTTTTTTCCAGTACTGGGGATTCAACTCAGGACCTTGCACTTGCCAGGCAGGCGCCAGCACCACTGAGCTAAATCCCCGGCCCTCTTTTTTTTTTTGAACTGTGCTACTTCTTATCTCAAAGTCTTCATGATTATTGAGACATAGATTTTTGAGCTTATAAAAAAATTGTTTCTGAGCCAGGGATTTAGCTCAGTGGTTCTACCACCTGCCCCAAGTTTGATCCCTAGTACCAAAAAAAAAAAAGAAAAGAAATTGTTTCTGAGCTGGGCTTGGTGATACACACCTGTAATCCCAGCACCAAGGTAGGCTAAAACAGGAGGCTCTCAAGTTTGAGACCACCCAGGTAATTTAGTGAAATTGTCTCAAAATTTGAAACTCCCCCAAAATTTTTTTAAAGAGCTGTGGATGGATTGCAACTGGGGATGTAGCTCAGCAGCAGAGCACATGCCTGGCAAGTGTGAGGCCCTGAAGTAGATTCCTGGTACAAAAAAGAGAGCTGTGGATGTAGCTCTGTGGTATTTAGGTTCAGTTCCCAGTACCACAAGGGGGGGGGGAGGATGAGAGAGAAAGAAAAAAGAAAAAGGAAAGGAAAAAAAGAAATTCTTTCAGGACATTACATAATATAATAT